AGTTTCCTGTTTTAGATTACTGTCATTTGTTTAGTTTGGATTTTCTAGGGGTCCACACAGTATGGATTTCCGAGTTGTATTTTGAAGGATCAGTTGTATCAGAAGAGTTTATTAATTAATGGAAATATATTATGAGGTTTATTATTAGATTATCATTTTAGTTTCTTGTCAGCATTTTATTTATTCTTCTTTATTCTTTTGTACTCTGTGTTCGTTTATTATCAATTTATTTTGATATCCTCGGGTATTCGGGCGCGGGCCTGGCCAACCCGTATTCGGAAATTCGGGGGTATCACAAGGTTGGACCGTGCAAAAAGCCGGGGAACCAGATATCCTATAAGAGAAGAACAAGTGGAATCGAGCAACCCATTTGTTGGAGGATACCTGACAGATCAAGTCCAAGTTAACGCCCAACCAAATGTTCAAACAAACCAAGAAAAGCTTGTCACAAAGTCCGTCACTAGGCTGATCACCAGGCTAATCACCAAGTAGCCATGACACAGGGAAATGAGTTCCACATCTCTCTTGTAAAGAAGTATAGTCCCCTTCAAATATAGGAAAACTGAATGCCAAGGCGATGAGGTATACTTGAGGTTGAAAAAAGATGAGGCAACGTGAGACCAGAAATTTATGCTAATTAATGTTGGCAATAAAACAAATGAGAGTCAGATGCTCATAGTTTAAAAAAAATGAAGTTGACCAAAATGTTGACGTGGACATGAAAAAACACTGTTCATTTACTGAAATGTATCACATTTAGACACATAGGTACCACTTTTTGTACACACATGTACCACTTTTGTTTTTGGTATAGAGGTCCTACTTTTATGCACTTAGGTACTACTTTTTGTGCACGCATGTACCATTCTTGTGCAGCACAAAAGTGGTACATGATAACAAAAAGATGCTTGCACAAAAAACGGTACCTATGTGCCTAAAAGAGGTACCTTTTTAGCAAATGAATAGTATTTTTCCTTATTTATGTCAGCATTTTGATCAACTTCATTTTTTTGAAACTATGAGACTTTTACTCCATCAAATAATAAATATGGGTCATTAACACCATATATATGTAATAATCCCTTCCATCTATTTGTTATTATATATATATATATATATATATATAAACATGCATTATACATATATATGATGGCAATGTTATTTATTTATTTATTTATTTTCCTATTGATGGCAATGTTTCTTTTATTGATGGCATGGTTTATGCATAGTCAATATAGCTTGTCTTGCCAAACAAATGTAGCTTGTCGAAATTGATGGCAAGGTTTCAACTGTACAATATATATATTTTTATTTGTATATATAAAATTATAAATTACTTGTAAATATATATCTATGGCGAGAGAGAGGAAGAAAGAAGGGTAAGTTTGTCCATTAAAATAAAGTTGTTGTTGTTGTTGTTGTTTTTTTTTTTTTTTTTTTTTTTTTTTTTTGTCATTTGATAATACTCTAAGGGTAATAGCATCTTTTTACTTAGTTGATGGGCATTTTGGTCACTTTAAATCAATTTTATGCAAAAAGTACTATTTTTTGAATGGATGGGAGGTTTTTGCAAAATCAAGCAAACCTTAGGGAGACATGTTGTAAAAAAAAAATACAAACCTCAGGTTTATTTGCAATTAGGGTAAATCTTAGGGGAGATCATTGTAGTTACCCTATATTCTTCAAGTGTTCTTTCACCTCCATAATATGGACCTTATTGAGTCATAAATGTAAGGGTAAAGTACAAAAAGCCCCCCTCGACTTGTAGCATTTTTCAATAAGCCACTTTTGTCTAATTTTTTTACCAACAAGCCTCCCAAACTATCTGAGGGGGTAAAGGAATAGATACTTGGACCAAATTGCCATTTTATTTGAATCCTAATTATCCTGAACTTCAAAAATTCGTCTCTCACAAATCGTACATCAAAAAAATATAAATAATATATACACGGAAAGCTTATGAAATAAAGATTCCAGAAATATAAGATTTGTGCATCAAACTTCCATAACCAGAGATAAATAGGCAATCTAAGAATCTGCTCCAACAATCTTATTTTATTTTTAAAAAATAAAATACTCGGGAAAAACTCCAAACTTATTCATTTGCATGTGGAGCATAACATATAAAATATTTAGCCTAACAAATATTCAGTTTGATTTTTTTTTTTTTTTTTAAATGGCGAATCTATAAGAAAATAAAAATACTTTGGTGTACAATATGAAATCTCATGAAATTGATCTCTGTTGGGGCTAAATTTTTTATATCTGAAAATTTTCTTGCAAATATCCTGAGATCAATAAAATAAGATTGCTGCAGTAGATTCTTAGATTGCCTATTTCTCTCTGATTATGGCGTCTTGTTGTACAAATCTAATATTTCTATAATATTTGTTTCATAAGCTTTCCATGCATAAATTATTTGCAATTTTTTTATGTATGGTTTGTGAGATATATATTTTTGAAGTTCGGATGAATTAAAATTCAAATAAAAGAACATTTTGATCCAAGTAATCACTCGTTTACCCTCTCTGGATAGTGGGGGTGGGGTTTGTTGGTAAAAACAATTAGACAATGGGGGGATTTATTGAAAAGGTTACAAATCGAGAAGGGTTTCTGTACTTTTCCCTAAATGGAATGTGTTATGGCCAACGGATCACCTTCAAGGTTCTAAATCTCAAGAAACCAACTTTGAAATTCATTCTCATCGCGCTTATTATGGCAGCTAGAATCTATGTGATCTGGAGAAAGAGGAATGAAATGATGTATTTCAATTCTCACTGGAATGTGGGCACAGTTCAGAGGGAAATCTTAGAGCTGCTTAGACTTAGAGCTTGGTCTTTGAGTAGCATTTCCGCTTCCGATAAGGATCGAAGGCTCAAAGAGAATGAGTAATCCCCTTCTAAAAGAGTAACCATGTCCGCTCCAGTTAGTGATGTACATTACCAAATTGTTGTGATGTTTTGCAAGAGACGACTTTAGTCCTTGCCCCAGTGCTTGTGCTATCCTTGAAGTCCTTTGATTAGCCATGTTCTAAACAAAACAAAAAATTAATTGTAATCCAAAACTAAACAAAACAACAATCAATCAAAAATAATATAGCTTCTATACGTGTGTACAAACTTAATTGCACTTGCGGAAATTTATAAGGTTCTAATCAATTAGATAAATCAACTAAAAATTAAACAAAAAAATCAATTTATTAAAATTTTTTAATTTGTTCTCAAGTTGCTAATCCATTATTCAAAAAATTCATAACAAATAGAAGGTACCAGAAACCGAATTGAAAAGAAATAAGAGAAAATAAAACTTAAAAAAAAAAATTCAAATTAGTAAAAAATTTTAATTTGTTATCAAGCTTCTAATTAATTACAAAAATTATCCTAATAGAGAAAAAGAATTGAAAAAAATTAAAAATAGAGAAAAAGAATTGAAAAAATTAAAATTCCAAACTTTGTATGGAATAGAAAGGTAACAGGAACCAACTTTTACTTATTATTTTCTCTTTTGAAACCCTAGAAGCAAAACAACAACAAATCTAAAAGTAAAACAGAGAAAATAAGATAAAATTAAAATTAACAGAAAAAATTCATAATAGATAAAAGGTTACTAATCAATTATTGAAAAAATTATAATAGAAAATTAATTGAAAAAAATCACAAGAGAGAAAAGGTAACCGACTAAAATGAATTGAAAAAAATTCACAAGCACTAACAATTTTATATTGATTCTTCTTTCTATTGATTTTTCTTATGCTGCAAACCTTAGAAGCAAAATAACAACAACTTTAGAAGCAAAACTGAGAAAATGAATTGAAAATAAGAGACATTAAAAATTAATAGAAAATACCCTAGAAGCAAAACAGAGAGAAAAATTAAAATAAAAAACCCTAGAAACAAAATCAAAAGGACGCAGAAAAAATATATTATTGTAAAATTGCTATTTAGGGAAGACTTAGAAATACAATAAAATTGGGTTTATTTATAATTATTACTAAACATTCATTTTATTGAATCCTTTTCTAATTAGATTTTCTCGGGACTAAATATTTCTTTTATTGAATCATTTTTTAATTAGATTTTAGATTTTCTTCAGACTAAATATTTCATTTATTGAATCCTTTTATAATTAGATTTTCTTCAGTAATTTAATTCTTTAATATTATATATTTATAGTAGTTAAAATTGAAAAGGAAATTTAAAGAAATCTAATTCAAAAATAAATTAATATATTTAAAAACCCTAGAAGCAAAACAAAGAGAGAAATTGAAAATAAGAAACATTAAAAATTAAAAGAAAAAACTCTAGAAGCAAAATCAAAAGGACGAAAAAAAATATATTATTGTAAAATTGCTATTGAAGGAAGAGTTAGAAATACAATAAAATTGGGTTTATTTATAATTATTACTAAATATTTGTTTTATTGAATCATTTTTTAATTAGATTGTCTTGGGACTAAATATTCATTTTATTGAATCATTTTCTAATTAGATTATTAACACTGAAAAGAAAATCTAACGAAATCTAATTACAAAATAATTTAATATATGTACTAAAACAAAATATAGATATATATATTTTCTTTTTATTTTTGTGAATTTCATATCTTGACAAGAATAAAATTGGGCTCGAATTAGTATACTAAAGCTCAATCCAAGAGTTCTGGGTTCGGATATGAAGTTCAGCCCGATTATTATTTCTTTCCTTTTTCTTTTTCTTTTTTTCTTATTTAAGTAGGTTAGAAAAATCTTGGTAAGAAACTAAAACCGGCCTCATGATATAAAGATCTTGTCGACCTTTCTCCGAAAATCACTAAAACGACCGCGTCTGGAAAATCTACTTACCAAAATCTTCTTCAATCATCTCTAATTTTGCCCATTTATTCGCGCCCAAAAAGTTGAATAAAACTATTAAACTAAACAAAAAAAACCCGCGAGTTGAATGAGGTTAAATATTTCGCGCCAAAATTACTTTTTAACACCCTCCAAAATCCCTCTCTCAATTCATTCCCCCCTCTCTATCCTCTCACTCAGTCACTCTCCCTCAATCTGTAAATTTTTTTTTTCGAGAGTTCTCTTTCTTCCCGTATCCATTTCTCAATCTGTGGTTTGTCCTCTGTTTTAAGAGTTTTGTGGCTATGCTGTTGACCACATAATAAATGGAAACGAAGACCATGGGAGGAGAAGATGAGAACATCAAAAAGATCCGATCGGTAGTGGGTACTGAATTTCCGGAACCAGACATTCTCCGACCACTCTCACAATCCGGCAACGACCCAGATGCGGCCATCAACCACATCATCGGCACAACTCCGATCACCGTTAAACGGACGGTTACCAGCACTGGCGCTCGAATTTCTACCCAGGTTAAGCAAGAGAACAGTGAAGAGTTAGGAGATGAATCGGTACACGAGTCGAAGCCAAAGATCAGAGTAAAAGAGGAATCTGATATGGGTTTTGAGGTTAAAGACTCTGTAAAGGATGAATCTGGGTGTTTAGTTTGCATTCAGAAATCGGTACCCAGAATATCCTTTGATGAGTTTCTTCAGGCGACGAACACCAAAGTTATGACCGATGATGAATATCTCAAGACCCAGATTGAGCAGGAGAGGCCAAAAGAATCAGAAGAAGCTCAATCGATTATTGAGTCGAAGCCGGATGTGAATGTGAAGGAGGAACCTGATATGATTATTGAGAAGGTGCCTGAAAACGGAGAAGTAGTGGGTTCAGATAGTCTTCAATCAACTGAGACTAAAGTTGTCTCCAATGATGAATGTGCAAAGATCCGGATTGAACAGGACAGGCCAAACGAATCAGAAGCAGCTCAATCCAATCATGGTTCGAAGCCAGATGTGAATGTGAAGGAAGAACCTGATGTGAGTACGGAGAAGAAGGTGCCTGTAAAGGAACAATTAATGGGTTCGGATAGTCTTCAATCAACTGAGACTAAAGTTGTCTCCAATGATGAATGTGCAAAGAGCCAGATTGTTAAACAAGAGAGCCCTAAAGAGTTAGGCGCCGAATCTTGTTGTGGGTCGAAGGAAGAATCCTATGAGGAGTTTAGGAAGAGGAAAAAGGAGGAGTTGAATCGCAGGAGGGAAGAAGAAATGGAGGCCGCCAGACGCAATTTGCTTAGATCCTCCTCAAGTGTGAAGAAAGAAAGAGTCGAAGATAAGAGGCTTAGCACAGTTGTGATAGAGGATGGAGATTTTCCAGAAGAAAAGGACTGGTTGTTGGTGGGCAGGAATGTTGTTACCGGGCTTTCGACTACCAGGGGAAGGAAACTGGAAGACAATGAGATAGTCCATTTTGCTTTTCCTTCTGGGGATTCAAGAAGTAGACACAGTTCACAGTGGGTGAGTGCAAAGGCTGCTGCAACGTCTGGGATTGTTCGCTTCTCAACCAAACGATCCGGCGAGGTAATCTCCTTTTCATTTTATGGGTTACTTCATTTTCAGTTTTCTATTATTTTGTCCTTTGTTGTAGTATACTAAAGTTTTCTAAAATGTTCATTTTGTGTGTGTATGTGTGTGGTAGTATTAAAAATGCGAGATAGATACTAACTTGTTAATTCACACCATCTGTGCATTTCATAATTCAGATTGGTCGTCTTCCTATGGAGTGGGCAAAATGCCTCATCCCACTTGTAAATTCTTCCAAGGTTAAAGTTCTTGGTCGATGCGTGGCAGCGCCATTAAGTCTTCAGTTGATGCAAGAGATAATGTTGTATTTAAGGTAAATTTCCCAACTATTTTTTTTTCACTTGTGGATTTGTTTTCTACTTATTTCATATGGCTTCATTGAATTTGCTTGGTTATTACAATCCTTTTTATGATTCAAATTTATTTATGTGCTCTGTTTTCTTCTTCTGGCAGCTTTTATATTCACCGTTCAATTTTCACTGAGGGGGACGACAAGTCATCTTGGAGGCTAGATGCCCCCTCATTCATTGACTCCACGGTTTATCCTTTGCTAACTCTGTTCAAGTTGCTGAATGTTGAACCATTTCAAAAGGTAGTAATACTCTATGTCACGATGTAATTTAAGTGCATCAAATAGACTTTATAGCTGTTCTTAGTTTCTAATGTAAATTTGTATTGATTTGAAGCCTAATTTTAAAGTAACATATAACATTTGTACTTATTTGAATACTAATTTTAAAGTAACATCTATATTGCTTCTGTGATCATCTTTGACCAGGCTGAATTCACCCCAGATGAACTTAACTCTCGCAAACGAATGCTGAATCTAGACGTATGTACTTAATCTCTTGTTAGTTTATTATCAGTGTACCGAACTTAATGTAAGAGTTGCTGCAATATTGAATTAGTTTAAGTTTATTTCTGTTAGCATATATGATAGCCACGATTTATAGAATAACTTACATTATTAGCAGAGATTTGAATATGCCATAGAATATGTTATAGAATATGCTGTGATTTGATTTAGATTTGATTTAGTTTTCTTTCTTGCAATATGAGCATGTGCTCATTTTATCTATAAATACTAGAGTCGTGAATGAGTGATTTATCTCATTCAAACCTTTACACAATTATCTCATTTCTCTTCTTTTTATAGTTCTACTTGGTATCAGAACCAGGGTGGTCCGCCTACAATGAGGGCACTACGAATTCGGCACCACTCATTCGGGGATGGTCTAAGGTGACATCACCCATCCAGGAGGTGTCGGGTAGGCAGGGTGGTCCGACCTCAATGAGGGCGTTGCGAGTTTGGTACCACCTATTCAAAAATGGTTTGAGGAGACATAGTTGTTTCTTTTTATGGTCTGAGGAGACATTGTTGATTCTTTCATCTACATTGTTTAAACATATGTATCAAGGGAAATGGTCTGAGGAGACATTGTTGGTTTTTCCATCTACATGTTTTAAACATTTGTATGAAGGGAAATAGTCTAAGGAGACATTGTTGGTTGTTTATGGATTAAGGAGACAATGAGACATGATTGGTTGTTTATGGCTGAGGAGACATGATTGGTTGTTTATGGTCTGAGGAGACATTTTTTATTTCTTGATCGACACTTCATCTAAGAGAAAATCATCGCTAGTCAGATTTGCACTCCATTTGTCACAAGTTCTCAACAGCTTGCAGACGTTCTTACAAAGGGAGTCGGCAAGATTGTGTTTGAGAATACATTGTCCAAGTTGGGCGTTTTAGATATCCACACACCAACTTGAGGGGGAGTGTTAACATATATAATAGCCACGATTTATTAAATGACTTATCATATTAGTAGATATTTAATTTTGCTATAGAATATGCCATAGAATATGCTATAGAATATGCTGTGATTTGATTTAGATTTGATTTAGTTTCCTTTCTTGCAATATGAGAATGTGCTCTTTATATCTATAAATATTAGAGCCGTGAATGGGTGATGTATCTCACTCAAACCTTTGCACAATTATCTCATTTCTCTTCTTTTTATAGTACTACTATTTCTTTGACTCAATGATGTAAGATTTTATTGACATTTTTTCTCCTGTTGAAAAACAGGGTGATTCAAATGAAGCTGCATCAATGCTTCCTATATTGAAGCGAAGAAAGGGTTGCCAGCAGTATCCTGAACAAAACAAAGATGAACAAGCTGTCTCAGAATCATCTTTGAATAAGCTTGTTGGTGCAGTAGATACCTACAACTTGGAGGTAAAATAATCTTTTAATTTTCAGAATTAAAATTGAAATAAAACTTGGCCAGGAAATCAGTTTGTCTCTCTTCAAATTGTTCAGGAGATGGAGCCCCCTGCAACCCTTATGTGTGATTTAAGGCCATACCAGAAGCAGGCTCTCTACTGGATGTCAGAATTAGAGAAGGGAACAGATGTTGAGGAAGCAGAAAAAACTCTTCATCCATGCTGGGCCGCCCATCGCATATGTGATGGGTATGTAGTTTCTTTATCAATTTAAAGATCAAAAAGAAGAAAAAGTACTAGCTTTCAATCACAACCTAGAATCCAAGGCATTTAGTTTCAGCCAAAATTCTAATGTGCTACTCGACTGCCAACATGTTCATTAACAGGAGGGCTTCTGCAATTTATGTGAATGTTTTCTCTGGGGAAGCGACTACTCAATTTCCAACTGCAACACAGATGGCAAGAGGGGGAGTAAGTTTTGCCACAGACCCTTCTTTCGTTTCATAATGTATCTCTTTTGAAATGTGAAAGGAATGTGCTAACAGTATTCATATGTTGCATGGTTTTTACCACCATTGTATGTTCATCTATTTTGGGGTGACAGTGTATAACCATATACGGATTTTCTAACTTGCTATGCAGATTTTGGCTGACGCAATGGGGTTAGGGAAAACTGTGATGACAATTGCCCTAATTCTTGCAAGACTAGGCAGGGGAAAGGATTCTGATACAGAAAGCCCACAAAAAGTAAAGGGTGGCTCTCTCATTATTTGTCCCATGACTTTGCTTGGCCAATGGAAGGTGAGTCCCTTCAGCTAGTGAAGTTTAAGCTATTTTTTTGTTGTTATAATCCATAAAGCCTCAAAGATTTTTTATACTGTAAGTTTAGATCATGAAATGCTGCTACACTTCTCTCTACTTGACTAGGTATCTTATTATATTTTTTTAACTCCAGGATGAGCTTGATACTCATTCAAAGCCAGAAAGTATATCAGTTTTTATTCACTATGGTGGGGATCGAACCAATGATGCCAAGGTGATCGCAAAAAATGATGTCGTTGTAACGACATACGGTGTCTTGACTTCATGTTATAAAAGTGTAAGATATCTTCTTTTGTTATCTATTTGTAAATCTACCATCGAAGTCCATTTGCATTCTGCTGCAACAGTAGTTATTATCGTTCCTGCTGCTGTAGCTACTGTCATGATACTTATTATTAAATTGTGCTGACTGCAGTCATGATTATTGTTATTACTTCTTTTTATTTTATTTTATTTTATGTTATTTTTTTGAATTTTGATTTAGGATGGGGAGAACAGCATCTTTCACAGAATTGAGTGGCATCGGGTGGTGCTAGATGAAGCTCATACTATCAAATCCTCAAAAACCTTAGCTGCTCAGGCTGCTTATTCATTATCCTCACACTGCCGGTGGTGTCTCACGGGCACGCCTCTTCAGGTGTGTTGCATTTTCTCTCTTATTTCACCTACAGTTCTTTTGATGAATAAATTACCCAACTGCTTTTGGCTCATAGGTCTTAAATTGAAGAGTGAAGTTCATTAGGAATTTTATTTTATATATTTATAGCAACCATTTTTTGTACATTACTGCAGAATAATTTGGAAGACCTCTACAGCCTGCTATGCTTCTTGCATGTTGAGCCATGGTGCAACTGGGCATGGTAAGTAAAATGAATTATCTCCTTATGCAACCTCACATTTTGATTATTATTTGCCATATGGAATTGTAATATTTTAGAAAATAGTTGAACTATGGGCATTTCTGCTCAATTCTTGGTTAGAGACTAGTTTGAGGAACAAACATGATGATCCTGTTGCTCTTTCCAATTTTGCGGGTACTTAGGTGGAGCAAATTGATTCAGAGGCCTCATGAGAGTGGTGATCAGAGAGGCTTGAAATTGATTAAAGCTATTTTGAGGCCGTTGATGCTGAGGAGAACTAAGGATACAAAGGACAAACAAGGAAGGTGATCATTCTCATTTCTTTTCTTTTTCCATGTTACTTTCAAACTATGGATGAATTCGTGTCCATGTTAGCATATTGATGTTCGTCTATGCTTGCAAAATTAGGCCCATTCTTTTCCTCCCACCGACAGACATCCAAGTCATTGAGTGCAAACAGTCAGAAGCTGAACGTGATTTTTATGATGCCCTCTTCAGAAGATCGAAAGTAAGTTGTATGATAACATGGTTTTTGAGTGCCATAATTTTCTGTCCAGGACTGAAACTAGATTTGCATATGATGGCATATCCTTCAATATTTGAAACATGATATACCATTTCTGCTCTTCAAATTGCTTCTCATGTATGTTCAGTAACTAATTTGTGGCACTGTTAATATGGAACTTTACATGTTTTCTTCAATATAATCAGGTCCAGTTTGACCAATTTGTGGCACAAGGCAAAGTTCTTCACAACTATGCAAATATTCTTGAGCTGCTACTTAGACTAAGGCAGTGTTGCAACCACCCATTTCTAGTTATGAGGTGAGTGGTATTCAGCTCTTTAACCTACTTGAAGCAATAATTACCTCTCTCTCACACACACTTCATTTTTATATGATTTGATATTTAAATATGCAGCCGAAGTGATTCACAAGAATATTCGGACCTGAGCAAGCTTGCTAGAAGGTTCCTTGAGATTAATCCTGATTCTGCCACTTCAGGTCAGAAAGTCCCTAGTCAAGCATACATCGAAGAGGTTGTTGAGGGCCTCAGGCGAGGTGAAAACACAGAGTGTCCTATATGCCTGGAGTTTGCAGATGACCCCGTGCTCACTCCATGTGCACATCGGATGTGCAGGGAGTGTCTTCTCTCCAGCTGGCGGACCCCTTCCACTGGGCTTTGCCCAATATGCAGGCAGCTGCTGAAGAAAGCAGACCTCATTACTTGCCCATCTGAAAACCGGTTCAGAATTGATGTTGTAAATAATTGGAAGGAGTCTTCTAAGGTTACAAAGCTCCTTGATTGCTTGGAAAGTATACGTCGATCAGGTTCTGGTGAGAAGAGCATTGTTTTCAGCCAGTGGACTTCATTCTTTGATCTCTTGGAGATTCCATTGAGGAAGAAAGGAGTTGGGTTCTTAAGGTTTGATGGTAGACTGACGCAGAAACAGAGGGAGAGGGTTTTAAAGGAGTTTAGTGAGACCAGAGAGAAAATGGTAGGCAGAAATAAGTACTTAAATTCTCCTATCTGTATATACACATATATATGTAGACAATTTTGATTGTTTGGCAGTTGATACTGAATCTTGTTGGTGATCAAATGCTTAAAATCCACTCTCCTCCACATTTCAGGTATTGTTGATGTCATTGAAAGCAGGTGGTGTGGGCTTGAATTTGACTGCAGCTTGTAATGTCTTCCTTATGGTACATTTCCAGCATTGCTTTTATTTGCTTTTTTTTTTGGTTAAATTTTCCGTTGTAATCCCCTCCTTGATATTCATATTGTTGTATGGAATATGCAGGATCCATGGTGGAATCCTGCAGTAGAGGAGCAAGCCATAATGCGAATTCATCGGATTGGACAAAAGCGAAAAGTTACCGTTAGAAGATTTATTGTCATGGTGAGATATTCTTTTCTTGTTCTTCCTGGATCCGCCTTAGAGAATTTCTCATATCTGTATAAAACACTAGGGTGGGAAATCTCTGGCTTTCAATTTGAAGTCTTTTAGATTGGATTGTTGCACTATTGACTGTTAAAGTCTATATTCAATTCAGTATGTATGATGTATGGCCATATGTGCAAATGCTAAATAGCATGAACAATAATAAATTAAAAAAAAAATAACTCGGAGGCTATGTTCGGCTGCATGTAATTGGAGTCTTGAAATTGGAAAAAATTTTAGTTCAATTTAAACTTTGAACTAATATTTTTTAATAATTCCACCAATTCCAATTCCATACAGCTGAATATAACCTCAGTGTTGAGCTTAGAACCATTTTACTTGGTCCCCATTTTCATCAATCATCACTCCCCATTTAAGTGTCATTTTTATTCTTTGATCAACTGATCAAACTAACGACTCTGAAATTAATCTAATGTGTGCAGGACACGGTCGAGGAGCGCATGCAGCAAGTTCAGGCGAGGAAGGAGCGGATGATAGCCGGAGCCCTCACTGATCAAGAAGTTCGATCAGCTCGGCTCGAGGAGCTTAAAATGCTCTTCAGATAAAATTTTTAATTATGAAATATGCAAATGTATGTATATATATGTTATGGAAGTAATTAGAGAGCATGCTGTAGAGGGTTTTTTTTTTTTTTTTTTGTATAGGCTGATGACCCTCAAGTTTTGCAAATTTTGGCATTACTTTGCATTGTTGATTTACTTTGTTATCTTCTTGTAATGTCTTTCCAGATTAATTTAGCAGGTTCAACATCATGTATTTTTGGTAGAGTGCATAAAATCTCTTTGAACCATTAGCAAGCATGCAAATGGCTCCTTGATATTGCAGATAATCGTCATAAGTATGCAAATGAGGTTATTTTGTCATTACAAACAATGAAAAACTTTCAATTTGAACATTCTTTTGTTTAAATAAAGGGTAAGTTTTAAGAAACTCTGAATTATAATATTTTGTAAATATACACTTTAGATATACTCATTTGTCTTTTCCTAAGTATTTCAAAAAAATTTAAATTGAAATTCAGGAAAAAAAAAAAAAAATGGGTGTTTCTGCCTTGCTAAAAAAAAAAAATTAATAGAAACAAAAGTTGACCATTGCACAATTCACATGTGCATTTGGCAAATAAAATCATTTTGCCTCTATTTGACAAAAGAGTCTCAATGAACGCTAATTTACCCAAGTAGGTTGTCAAAGAATCACATTAATGCTTTGTTCCGCAGGAATGAATGAAATTAGATGGTAAGAGAGAGAAGAATGGATGAATGAGACATTCCTAGCGAAGAGATTATATTCTTCCTCTTTTTTTCATTTGATTAATAGGGAGGATAAAAGGAAAGAGAGAATTTTGAAGTTGTTTTTACCATTAAATCCATCACTTACTTTATTTGTGGGATTTATTAAATATTTTGAAGAGTGATAAAATAATTTAAAACTTCTATAATAGGCTCATTTGTCTTTTTTCCTCTCTTCAGCCCATATTTGGATGAATGAAAATATGTGAAGGATGAAAGATACCTCATCCATCATATTATCCTTTCTTTCTTTATATCATCTCTACCGAACTAATGAAGTTTGTTATTGATAAGCGCCGAATATTGCATATTCAAGCGCCCTTAATTGCATTAGTTAAGTCCATTGTTCGTTTAATAATGTAGATTACTTTCATTTGTATGTTTTTGAGCATTTTCAGGTTCAATTGCAATAAAGGAGCAAGAAGGGTGTTTTGTAGAGTTTTTGAATATCAAGGTGCCAATTCTGAAATTCTGGCAGCAGTGAAGCCCAAACTTTGTTCGCCATTTTGACCTACCAAACTCGAGAACTGGACTCCCTCTTAACATGAAAGATTTAGAGCTCTGAATCAGCTTTCCAAATCTTCAAGCGGTTCGTCATTCGGAGTTCAGAGCAGAGAGTTATGATCTTCTTATTAGAGGTGCTCAGAACTGCTTGGCAGCAATGAGTTTCTGCCTTGCTCTTCAATTTTGACCAACCAGACTTGAGAATTGGATCTTTACCAAAACATAAAGTTTTTAGAGCTCTGAATTAGCTTTCCAAATATTTAAACGGTTCATCATTCGGAGTTTGGAGCGCAAAGTTATGGCTGTTTTACCAAAGTAGGTCCGGGCGAAGCAAAGCAATCATGGAGCAATCTGCTCCATTTTCGAGTGCTCGAGGCCCTATTTCGAGTACTCGAAATTCAGGCAGATTGCACTTCGGAAATGGCTCATTTCAGCCACTTGTGCATTGGGTTCCTCATTTTCTACTTACCTTCTTTATGGAATGGTTGGAAATGTTTTTTGGAGGGAGGAGAGAGAGCCTTGGTTGGGGTCTTGATCTAGATAAGAGGGAAGCAAAGCCACACAATGGGATAAGCTTCATTTTGAGAAGATAGAGGAGAGAGAAGAGAGCAAGAAAGAGGAGTTCTTCAAGCCAACACAAGGGAGCACGAAAATGGAGTTGGAGGCCTTGCTTCCTCCTTCATCTAGAGCTACCATGGGTAACTAAACCTCTTCTTAGGGAGTTGATGTAACCTTTGTCAAGTAAATATGTATTAATTGTGTTTATATTTGGGGAACTTTGCATTTATGTAACAAGTTGTCTAATCTAGAGATACACTTTGATGTATTTGTGTTTCATTCCATATTTAATCTTGTAGAGACTCTTATCTTGTCTTAGAAATTATTTCTTCATGATTATGCTACTTACATCTTTATAGTGAGAATGAAGATGAGATTATACAATGGTTTTAATGGCATGTTGTTTAAGAAATTTGATATTCCATGGCTTAGGGAAACCTTTGATGGATTATGGCTTAGTTCTTGACTTCATGTGCACTTACCACACAAATTGAGGACTTTGATAGTTCATAGCTTAGGAAGGATACTTCATTCTATACCCTAGTTTAGATAGATGACTTATGCCAACCTTGGATGGATTATACTTAATTCTTGAATGTGTGAACTTCTTGAAGATATTGTAGTTGTCTTGCATTTCTACATATCATGGTTGCATGTATACTTTGTTCCCCAAGTTAATTGCAATTAGGCATGTTTATATGGCTTGTGGTGAAGTCAATTCCCTAGTTTCTTCTCTATTGTTCTATCTCTTTACTTCCTAGCACATTATTGTTTTATGCACTTTGAATTCCCAGTTTAGTGACTATCAAACAAACTCTTATTACCCCTTATCATTCTAAGAACAATTCTAGACTCTTAGGTTGCTATAGACTAGCGCAGTCCCAGTGGTTAAACTTACCCGACCAATAGCCCTATTTTACAATGATTCGTGCTATTGCGAAGGTTGATGTATAGTTAATCAACCGATCAATTTTTGGCGCCGTTGCCGGGGACTTGCATACGGTTTAACAACCAAAGTTTTAGGGTTAAACTTAGTGTGATTGTTAATATTGTGTTTTGTGCATATTTCTCGTGTGGTTTAACCATTTTTATGTTGTAAGATTCTAGGGACTCGACTCTCGCCGTGGGAACGCTAGCAAAGTGTAAGTCTAGAGGACCCTAGGTAAGCTTCTTGACCTTTTAGTTTCGCATTGTTATATTTTGTGCTTGTGTTAAGCTTAGAAGTAGTTAATTTATTTGCAAGCCCTTGTTGAGGCTATATTATTGTTTTAATTTCGTGTTCAAGCATCGGTCCTTGTCGTGGCCATTTATTTTCTGTCTTGATAATTGAGGAGAAAGGGAACATCGTATGTGGAGTTGTGGTTGATAAATTGCTTTGTTAAGTATATGTTTTGTTGTTGATGTTCGGTCGTAGGTCACTTTCCTTACCCACAATCGATTCTCCCATTGATATTAACTCTCTTGAAAGAACTCTTAGACAGAACCCTAGGGAACCTACTCTTACATGGGATCTTGAAACTGAATTTAATACAATGGGGGATAATATAGGAAATCCGGGGAATGAAAGGGCTGAAATTCCTAATATCGAGCCAATAACTCTTAGAAATCATTTCATCCCTACCACCTATGCTTCTCCATCTTGCATAATGATGCCAAACATCGTTGCAGCTCAATATGAGATCAAATCTAGTACCATCCAAATGCTTCCATCTTTTCATGGTTTTGATAATGAAGATCCATATAAGCATCTCGATGAGTTCCTTGAAATCTGTTCGACCATCCGGTTGAGAGGATTTCCTGAAAATGCACTCCACTTACATCTTTTCCTATTCTCCCTAAAGGATAGGGCAAAGTATTGGTTGAACTCCCTCGCTCCTAACTCTATTACTTCTTGGGCTCAATTGCAACAAGAATTTCTTAAGAAGTATTATCCGGTGAGTAAAACCAACCAAATGAGGCGTTCCATTCTAAGCTTTTCTCAAGTTGATGGAGAACAACTCCACGAGACTTGGGAAAGGTTACAAGATCTTCTTCGGAAGTGTCCTCATCATTTGATCCCAAAATGGCAATTAGTGCAAGCTTTCTATGCCGGCTTGACCGACACCCATAGATTCATGGTTGACTCTTCTTGTGGTGGGATGTTTATGTCCAAGAATGCGGATGAGGCTTGGACCTTACTTGAGAATTTGAGTGAAAATTCACTTCAACACAATTCTCGTAGGGCTCCGACCTCAACCACTCCAAAGAACACCAATCCTTGTCAACAAAAATCAATAAGGGAGGAATCATCTCAAGTGGATGCCATTGCTCATAAATTCTACCAATTGATGGCACCACATCTTCCCCCTTCATTGTCTCAAAATTAGGCAAGTTCGGTTTGTGCTTCATGTACTAGTCCATTCCATCTCTCGGAAGATTGCCCCACACCGGAGCAATTTCCCAATCCCAACCAAGAGCAAGCTAATGCCATGTTCTCAAGGCCCGAGCATAACCCGTATTCCAATACATATAATCCAGGTTGGAGGGACCATCCGAATTTTTCGTGGAGGCAACAAGCCCCACAAAATTCCCAACTTCAAAATCAAGGGCCTCAAAATCAGCCCTCTTTTCAATATCAAGGTAGGCCTTTCCAAGCCTCTTCAAGCTACCAACCTCCATACAATCCAAATGTCTCCACTCAACCTCCTGTGAATCCAATTGATGAGATAGTGGCTGCAAACAAGCAAATGATGGAATCATTAAATGTGCAAATGATGGAATCATTAAACAAGCAAATCATGGATTCCAACAAGCATCTCTTGACATCCTTGCAACCTACTCTCCAAATGGTTCACTCCCATACTCAATCCATAGCTAGGCTCGAAAATCAAATGGGACAAATAGCTAACCAAGTGAACCAACTTTTTCAAAAAGACAAGGGTAAGCTTCCCGCTCAACCATTTGAAAATCCTAGAGGGATACATGCAATTGATGAAACCCCTCTTCCGAGTGGGCCGAGTCTTGAGCATGTTCAAGCTATCACCACCCTTCGGAGTGGTAAAGTGGTTGACAACAAGGTCGATGGAGACAAAAGTGAACAAAATCCTCCTTTGAAAAATCCAAATTCAAGCTCTTCCAATCTAAATCCAAGTTCTTCTTGTCCAAATACCATTCACGGAAATCCCACGCATGTCGCCCCAAATGTGGAAACTACTTATGAGCCAAAAGCTCCGTTCCCTCAACGTCTTCAAGAGTCGACACATTTTGGGAATAAGAATTGCAAAATTCAAGACATGTGGGAGGTCTTTAGGCAAGTAAAGATCAATCTTCCTCTCTTGGATGTTATCAAGCAAATTCCTCCCTATGCAAAATTCCTTAAGGATTTGTGCACTCAAAAGCGCACTTCCAGAAGTCATTTACCAAAGAAAGTGAGGTTAACCGAAAATGTTAGTGCGATCATTCAGCACAGCACTCCT